ATTTAAGTGTAGCCCCTGAGCATCCACACAGAATAAGACTCGGTTGGGATCAAATTCTGTCATTAGATGAATAAAGCGCGATATCAATATACTCACTACTTATTAATGGAAAGAGATGCAAGTAATTTTTCCGCTTTATGCAATTGTATTTTTTGCCGCTCTATCTCGCTGCGCAATTTATTATTAGTGTTAACTTGCTCCTCAATCTGTTTAGTGATTTCTTGCATAAAAGAGCCAAAAGTTTTTTCATTGTATTTGAGCAATTGTAGGGATAAACTATCTACCTCTTTTTTAACTCGAGAATTGATCGCCTCCTCACATGCAAAGCAAGAGCAGTTATGTATCTGATTACAGGTCGGAACAGTATCTTGGATTTGAGTTTCCTAGTTAGTCATGATTATACTATATGATAAATTTTTAAGTGGTAATGGACTTCGATGCTGTCACTCTTTTTTCCTATTATAAACCATAATTTCATGTTGCAAAAAATCTTCAATACTTGGATCTATACCACATGCTTCTAATTCTGTCAGTGGATTGTGCTTTCTTGTAATTAAACGTCTCCATGATTCTTCTAATAATGAAGATGGTAATTGTTTTATTAAATCTGTATATGCCTGATTGAATCTCATTTGATACACTGAGTAAAAATTCTGTTGAATTCTATAGAATCCTGAAAAAGTTTGTAACAAAAATAGTGTGAAATTACTTATATATATATTAATTGATAATTTGATCCACTATTCTTTTTACGAGACATGTTGATTGAATATACAACCGATTTAAATTGGCGTAATGCCGTTAATATACTTAATAAAATTTCGCAAGTCGAAATATAATATCTTTTATAATTTATTGTATACCTTTGATATATGGTACAAAAACTACTCGCTGTATTCGCAATAGGTAAGCTTTACCTTATGGAGACATGCCTTCGTCTGCATTGAATAGAAAAATGAAAGAAACTGATCTACTCCTTATTGATGCCATTGCCTAAGTGGACACTTTCCATGATCAAGAAGATTATTATACCAACTATGCGCGAGGGCAGATCGTTGATCGGAGGTTAGAAGAACCCTGGTTAGAAAGTGATCTATCACGTAAAGACCCTACACATTCGCAATCTGTCTTGAATCTGCGATATCATGGTTCTCGGGGTCAAGTTGTTGATCCAATACGACACCCTGAATTATCGTTAGGATTTCTAGGAAACGATCCCAGAGGGAACCAGGTTGGACCTGATATTAATAAAATCTCGAAGCAAATGCAACGTCGCAAAACCGTTCTTACTATAGGAATAGGTACTAATGCTGATACTCAAGTTTCTGAAAGGCCATGGACAGAGCAAGCCATCAGGATTGGATGTAAAGAGATACATAATCAACTTAAGGGTAATACTCACGTTTTCTTTACACAAAGGGAAGGAAAAATTAATGAAGTGGTCCCACCTAGTGAAACTAATTATGCAGGGTACACTATAATGCGAAATCCTGAAGAGTGGCAAAAAATACTTTCCGGTGGGGATTATTACCCATATAATGAGTTAATTCGTAAGTATACTAATTCTGGCAATAACGCACCTTCTTATGTGCCGTGGCGGCATGTTATGGGAGAAACTAAATTACCTGTACAAAAATATGGTAAGGTGCCCGGTTCGTATACTACCCCCTTGAAAGATAGAAATATTATGTTACAGAAGGCAGATTAATCGTGGAATCTTCAGCAATATGGTAATACAACTGGTTTACATATCACTCCCTCAAAAGACAAAAACATAATGTTGCAGAAGGCAGATCAATCGTGGAATCTCCAGCAAGATGCTAATACAACTGGTTTACATATTACTCCCTCAAAAGATAGAAACATAATGTTACAGAAGTCAGATCAATCGTGGGGTCTTCAGCAGGACGTTAATGAAACTAGACATATTTCATTCAACATGTATATGGTACTTGCCACTAAGGAAATGGTTCAAACTGAGACTGGATTTGGTCAAAATAAAAATTTCCAATTAACTAAACCAGGAGGAGCTTCACTTATGCCTGCTATGCATTCTAGAGAACAAAAGTGGGATCAACAATTAGTTTTGCCATCTGGTTTTGAAAAATCTATTTCTAAAAATAATAGAAAACTTATCCCTTCTTCAGATCCTTATCCAATAAGCGAAATACAATGTGAAAAGCAACAAAGACACCTATCATTACAAGGCCTAACTTCCCTTGCTAAAACATTCCGGAGACCAATCCTTACTTCAGACACCTACCCAATAAGCGAGATGCAACATGAAGAACAGAAAAGACATTTGTTATTGCAGGATGTAACATCTCATATTGGAACACTTCGGAAACCAATTCTACCAGACGATCTGGAATTTCTTTATTGGCAACAGCAAGAAGAGCAAAATCGAGATGTAGCTTCTTCTTCACAAGAATCACATCTAACTAAAGGGGTATTATCAGCTATATATCCAGAAAAACGGTACAGGGTAGTCTAATTACTAATACATTTCCTAATACATATTTAACAAATGTCACTGGGATAATTCGATCACTTCGAACTGGAGATGATATGCGACATACATCGGGACTAGGTTTCTTTAATTCAATCAGACATCTTGCTACTTCAGAAAGATCTGCTCCTTCACAAAAAAACCCAACTTTCTCACATAAACAAGAATTCATATGGCATTTAAATCAGGTATTACCTAAATCTGCTGGAGCTGATAATTTTAATATTCATGTTTATAGTTCTGCACCTCCACAGGTTTCTACAGAAAGATCGAATCCAGATATTCTCTGGTAAAATACTTATGAAAATTCACCTATACTGGGATCGCTACTTCCTAAATGACAAAGTCATATTGGTGATGTAACGATTTTGGGGAATTCAGAAGAAACTGTCTTCGGATCTAATGCATCTGGGGGTTATAGTACTGCTACCACTGGACCTAAAACTTTACGCATATACAAAGAAAGTGACTCTATGAATTTACATGACGGATTGGTTAATACTTTTTAACTGTGCTAGTTTCGCTAAAAAAAAGATAAGTTTATTATATTTATACATTTTATTTATTGTTAAACTATAATTTGATCTAATACATGCTGTACATCTAAAACTTCATAAATTTTAATAAAAAAAGCTATTAATCATCACGAAATAGTAGTGAATAAAGGTCTAAAGTACCAGTTCTCAAGGGATACCTTAGATGGTTTTATTTTAAAGATATATATATATATGAATAAGTTATATAATAAATAAATAGAT